AAATATTTCTGATAAAGAAATAAGTAATCACCATTTATTAAATGATACTCCGACGGTGCCAACAAATTTGCCTGATCTTCAATTAAATGTAATGTTTCACCAATCCATTATCGATGCGCGTCATACGTTAAATTTAATTGTGGCTGTAGATATTATAAATTGTATAAAAACTACAAGAACACTATCTGTACAACTTGATGAAGCCACTCGATGTGACGTACTATGGAAACAATTATATTCTCCAAAAAAAAGAAAAATTTTAACATAGCATTTAGGAAAAGCTCTAAGAAATTGATTCCTATTTAATAGAATTCATTATTTTCTAGAACAAATACTTTTGTTAAGAGAAAAAATATTAGAGGTCAACGGACCCTTGAAATTTTCTCCTAAAAGATATATTTTTTAGTACATCGAGGAATATATCTTATATTTGCGATCAGTTGCAGAAACTATTGATAAATTACAAAAAGAAACGCACTGTTCACATGAATATCTACTTCCTTGCTTGATTTCTCTGCGCCGAAAATTAATGCATATTAGAAACAGTGATAACTTAGTTTTTTGTCAACCAATAGCAGAAAGTTTATTAATCAGCATTGAGAGACGAGTTTATTAATTAGCATTAAGATTTAATGATTTTTTTCAATCTAAATCCTAGGTAATGGACGTTTCAGAGCAATTATAGCAATTACACATCTTAAATTCAAAATACAGTGGATTGGATGCTTAAATGCTACCACTCAATGAGGGAAATTTATAAAGCTGTGATGCTGCCCGAATTGAAAGTACAGCTCAACAAAGTATTATTTCTAATCAAAATACAAGATGTTTTTTTTATTTTGCAGATGAACAAAATAATTCGATTTTATCATTAGTGACGTTTAAAAATTCTGATGCTAAAATGGAAATACGAAGATATGTATACGAGCTATGTACTGATAACATGTTCGCAATTAATACATATCCAATTGTCAAGAAATTATTCATTAAATATAATACGCCGTTTATTTTCATTTGCAACAATGTATAATTTGCTACAATAAACTATCAGATCAAATATATTTTAGCAAATAATATGAAATAAAACTAGTAATAACACACGTAAACATGTTACGAATAACTCAATCATGTATAGAGTGAATATACTTTTTTGTTGAGAAATTTTTGATTGAGAAATTTTTCTTTAGTTTTAACTAATTTCTCTATATATTACAGGAATTTAACAAACTTATATTATGTACAATTTGTTTATACAATTAACATTATACAATTTGTTTAAGGTACAAATATTAACACATTTTAGTTAGAATTGTCAAATTTAAGATATTAAACATAGTTTTCGAATCGCATTTAGAAAGAATTATGTACTAAGAGTTAAACATTTAAATGTCAGAAATAAAAAAAATCATAAATAAATTGATAATAATTAATTTTTTTCAAATCCCTTCATATTCCTTGAGCATTAATAAAATAAATTCATATTAATAAAATCTCTTTCAAAAAGCCTTTTGAAAAAAAAGGAAAAATACACATTCTTACTGATCAAAAATGGATATGAAATACATATCAACCAAGTTCATTACTCAACAAACATCTCAAAAAATTTATTTGTAAATAACTTATTAATTTTTTAGAAAACATAAAACGGACTGGAAATGACTAAAGTAATCAACTGAATTATAGTGAAGAAAAAACTTGGCGTACCCAGGTGCTATTGTCTCCTGAACATTAGACGATTAATACTTACACTCAGTCCCACGATCTGTTACTTGCAGATACATTTTTATGTCTTTACATACTATGTCACTAATATGTCTATTTAATTATTTGTTATGATTCAAATAATAAATAATAAATTTGTATTCTTTCGAAGTGGATTGAATAACAAACATGTTTTTATTCGTCAATCACAAATGGCCGAATAATGAATAAATTTTTATTGTTTGTTTGTTATTTAAATAAATGATGATCATTTATTGAAGATTAAAGTCATTTATTGAAATAGTCAATTAAAAATAAATTCTCATTTATTAATCATCAAATGTTAAATGTCAATCATGCCCATCTTTGCACATTAGACCCTATATAATCGTATTGTGAGAAGTATCGAATCCAACATGTTGATTTTCTTACTGCTTATTGTAAATATTACATTTGAAGCATTTTACGTTCAAGAGCCTATAAACACGGAATTCATTATCTTCGAAATATGTGAATAAAGGAAAGATACTACTAAATAAAATTCAAATAATATTCACAACTTATCGCAAAAAAATATGATCATACAAGCATTTTCCGTCGTTAGGAAATAATAAACATATAATTGAAAGAATCCTTTTTTCCATTTATAAGAAATGTTTATAAGAAATGTTAAAATAGTATAAGAAATAATATAAGAAAAAATTAAAATTAAATAATAAATAGCGGAATTATAATTTTTCATGTACATGTTCTGCCTTAAAAAAGCATTTTTGATCAGAAAAAGGATACAATATTATTCATCGACGTTAATTATTTATAACTTCAGAATGAACAAGAAACATTAAATTCTTGAATCATATTTGAAATCTGATTTTTATAATTAATGATCTATATAATTAACATACTGCAATATCGAAGTTATTGACAATAATATTTTCTAAAAGAAATATTTATTTAAAACAAGTTAAGACATGAGGTTTATCAGAATAAATAATATTATAAATAATAATAAATATCAAAATAAATAATAGTAAATATTTTTGTTTTATATTAATTTTCATAATTGTATTCATGTTGACATTGCAGAAATATTCCGGAGAGAAAAATTGATAATTTCACCATAAAACTGCGTGACGATGGGCTGTACAATATCCTGTTGCGAATCACCTTATTGGATGAAGATTTACCGGAAACAACTATTGTTAAATGTTTGCTCAGCATATCTAACGCTTTATACAACGTTTCTCGCAAGACTGTTTATTATGCTGGTTAGTAATGAATATTTACTTCTACTAATGTACATGTATATACTTATATATACGAATGTGTACATATATATGACTTTGGTATATTTCAAGGACATTTTTTGTCACATATGGTGCATTTTGAGGATTGTCCTCGGAATTATAGTTTTATGGATGGTAACATTTGAGAATATCAAATCCATCGAATGGAATAGTCTTCAAAATAGATCAAATACATTTAAATACAGTTTTGCATTCGGTACATTTTTAAGGACACAAAAAATTAAACTTATTATATCAAAAATAATTAATAAAGGTATATGTATACTGCATAAAAAATAAAAAAGTTATTTTATTATAGCCTACCTAGTTTTAATTTATTATCATATATCCTCAAAATACAATATATCGCGTATTTTTTTCTGAATTTTTTAATTTTGAATATTTTCATATTATCAAATAATTTTTTAAAAAAATATTGAATAATAATAATAGATTTATGGAAAAATGAAATATATTGCATTATATTGTAAATTATGTTTACAATTTATTTGTGGAATCTCAAAATAAGTGAAGTACTTTGTACTTAAAGATGACGAAATTGTTTTTGATAGTTTTGAAGTGCTGATTGCAAAATTGTATCACTTCAAATTTTTGAGATATTCTAATCTAAATGTGAAAGAAATTATGTACTCGACTATTTTCAACGATTTACAAAATGATTAACAATTTTTTTCAGGTAGATATCACATTAAAATATTATTCTTCCCTTTCGAACGCATATTCGATTGATACATTCAGATTTTTTATTACTGAGAGTTTATTACTAGAGTAAATAAATAACATTAAAAAATTATAAAACGGATTCCTCAAAATTCAATAATTAATTAAAAAGTATAAAAGACTTTAAGAATCAGCGTGGAAGATAATGAGCAAACATATTATTTTAAAAGAACTTTACTTCTTCTCTAACAACTATATATAAAAAGCTATTATGTCCGGTGGACTCTACTATTTCTTCGTCTCGCGTTCAATAAAGTAAGGGACGAACAAATAACCGATAATATGAATCCGAGAAAAGTTTCCAATCAAAAAAATCTATGTTTATTTAGAATCGAGCGATAAGAAAACTTTTATAGCATTAATACATTGGAAATCAAGCGTTAAATCTCCTTTCAAGCGTCGTGGAAAAGAAAATCATCAAATAAACTTTGGCACATCGCGTCAGTTCCAAAGTGCTAAGCTGGACAAAACGATCCCCATGATAAGAGTGACATTGCGGACATGATACTCGAAAGAAGACGACATATTTAATCATCTCACGCTGATATCATGCGGATGATCTCATGTGTAGGTTTAAGACAGGGTCATACAATTTAATGACATCTTTCGATATTGGGAAAAATCAACACAAATTGCGATTAACTAAATCCAAGGAAACATAGAATCCCAATTGTAAAAATAATAAGAAAAGAAACCGGTAATCCACAACACATTCTCCCCTCATTACGAAAACCACCAATAAGAATAGAAAAATAGAAAAAAATCGGAACTTACAGCGCGGGCGGAGCCAACTTAAGGGCAACTTTCCAATGATTAATTAAAATTGTTGTCATACCAAATAGTAGAAAAAAAATCCTACGAATTTGATTCCTCGATTTACCAATCAGACACATCTTACCAAAGAACCTCCTCCAAAAAACTATCTTTATAAACCGCGACATCACGAGACACGATGTAGAGAAAAATTAGTTCCATATAGCTCTGTAGAGCTCTGTGTAGTTACACTTTTCAAAATTATATCATCAAAATTATATCAGTGCAAATTCTGAAGCAACCGTTCCACTGCTGCCAAAGGCCCTTTCGCTCCAAGCGACTACCAGATCGTTGATCTCCAAGCATCAGGGAACCTCGATGACCTCGAAAATACACTTTTAGAAAACAGTTCTTTTTTTCAGTTACTTACTTCGGGAACCTAATCAGATCACTCCCTAGAAAAAAATCTCAATCAATCTCCCTTTCTCTGCAGTCTTAATTTTTTATTTCTACAGCTCACTTATAAGAACTAATAAGAACTACCGTTCTTATCCTCTCATATTTATCAATTTCTTCGATGAATTCTGTATTCTTTACTTAGAAATCTGCCTAATCCGCGAACTTCACTCTCTCATTATCTGCTTTCTTTTTTCTATGCAAAATCTAACAAAACATTTTTATATTTAAAAATCATAATGAGTAATCGGCCACGTACACGCCTTTCCCGTGCGGCTAAACACCTATGAACTCAACGCCTCAAGGAGGCTCATCAACTTCTAGATGAGGTCTATCAAGCATACCTCAATAGCATAAATAGTAATAATAATGATACAATAACATTAACTAATGGTCTAGATAATAATAGTATTAATAACGATACATATAATAATCGAGCTAGTAATAACAACAATAATGATAACAATAATAATAACAAGGATATTTGCAAGCCCTCTTCCTCGATCTTCTGTCGAATTAATCTCATCACAGTTAACATAAAGAATATTTCTTGACACTCATTCTCGTTCCATTTCTCCCGGATTCAACATCAAGCGTGGAGATGAAATCCTCCCTTTCTGTCCTCGTTACTACTTTCATCACGATTCCCAATCATTATCTTCTCTCTTCCCACAGTTTCAAATTTCTACCGAACCCCTTCCCACGAACTTTTACCATAAATCATCAAACTGCAGATCAGAAGCGCAATAACCGAACAACCACCAAAGACCCTTATATCTATTTTCTTTCCTCACATCCCTCACCCTTTTTTAGTCCCGACAGCTCACTTTAAAAATTTTTTCCCTGCTCATATACAATTAATAAAATTAGATAGATATAATTTAATGAACACACACACACACACACACAAAACACACACGCGCGCGCGCGCGCACACACACTTACCTTACCTTACATCTTTTTTTTGTATTTAATAATTTAGGCCGACACTGATATCGCGAATACACATACTTACATCGTAACGTTCACAATCATTTGCTCAGTTAATTATTAAGAATAACTCGTTAAGTTAATTATGCTAGATAACTCTTGTAACTTAAAACTGTAAGATCCTAGTATAGTATAAAATTAAACAATTTGTTAACAAACTAATTGAATTTTTTTTAATAATAAATATAAATACACATCTATATATATTAGGTGTACAACTTTGCTTCCGCCGTTTTCCTATAGATGGCTTTAGCGGTGGTGGTCGAAATAAATAGATCATAGACATCATACAATAAACTTGGGCATCTGTCAACATAACCCCATAGAAACATTAGTCGATTTGTGTCTGCATCATAAAGTTATTCTCGATTGAAAATGTCAATTTACGAGTCAAATTCTCGTAATTTGCGGAAGGTTTTAATTTTTTGCTCCAATATGAAGAAATCTGCGGCTGAGGCTCATCGAATGCTCTCAAATACTTATTGTGAGGCCGCTATTAGTGAAAAAACGTGTCGTGAGTGGTTTCAACGCTTCAAGAACGGATTTTGACGTCGAAGACCGGCATAGCGATGGAAGAGAGAAGGTTTTCAAAGATGCAGAATTGGAGGCATTACTTGAACAAGACTCGTGTCAAAATCAAGAACAATTGGCATGATCATTGGGAGTGACTCAACAAGCCATTTCAAAACGCCTCAAAGCCATGGGAATGATTCAGAAGCAAAGAAATTGGGTGCCGTACGAATTGAAGCCGAGAGATGTTGAACAGCGTTTGTTTGCTTGTGAACAGCTGCTTGAAAGGCAAAGACGGAAGGGATTTCTGCATCGCATTGTGACTGGGGACGAAAAATGGGTTCATTACGATAATCCAAGCGCAGAAAATCATGGAGAGTTCCCAGCCATGCTTCCACGTCGACGATCAAACCGAATATTCACGGCTCCAATGCTCTGTATTTGGTGGGACCAGTTCGGCGTAGTGTATTATGAACTGTTAAAACCGACTGAAACAATCACAGGCGATCGGTATCGAACGCAATTGATGCGTTTGAGCCGAGCATTGAAAGACAAACGGCCGCAATACAACGAGAAACACGATAAAGTGATTTTGCAGCATGACAATGCTCGACCCCATGTTGCGAAAGTGGTCAAGACATACGTGGATACATTGAAATGGGAAGTCCTACCCCACCCGCCGTATTCTCCAGACGTTTCTCCCTCTATCACTTATTTCGATCAATGGCCTGGCTGACCAGCACTTCCGGTCTTATGAAGAAGTAAAAAATTGGATCGATTCGTGGATAGCTTCAAAAGATGACCAGTTTTTTCGACGCGGGATTCGTACGCTACTCGAAAGATGGGAGAAAGTAGTGGCCAGCGATGGATAATACTTTGAATCATAAATGTATAACCAGTTTTTTACAATAAAGCCTCGAATTTCGGAAAAAAAACGGCGGAAGCAAAGTTGTACACCTAATACAAGAATGCCGATCGCTATAAACTTAACAAAGTTTGCGTATTACCATCGCATGAATTATCAGATCAGTTTTTTGATGAATCACATTTCTGTTTTTTTGAACAGAATCCACTTATTTAGCTATTCGATTTTGGTTAGACTTCTTCTTTTTTTTATCATATTACGTCAAGTTTATGTTTTATGATAATTAAAGTTAAAAAAAGAAAATTGTACCACAAAATTTCTTCAATTTTATCCATTATGATAGAAATACAAAGATATTCTCTTGTGCAGTATACCCAGCTAATGAATTGCAGTTTGACTGCCGTCATCACTAAGCGACAAATTTGAATTGTTTAACAACATTAGCATAATAACATTAATGAATTATGCGCAATTTAATATTAAAATTATAGAAAAGTGCATATCTTGAAATGTAAGTTAATTTTTGTTGTTATTTACAAATTGATAATAAGAAATTTTAAGTTTTGATTTATATTAAAAAAATATTAAAAGACAAAATTTTTAACACTAAGTGACATTTTAGTCGATCAGTATTTTAAAGAATTTTCATGTATTGAATATGTAAAAAATAAAACGCTTTGCACATACAATTGTATATAATGTATTGTATTTATGTATTGTATTGTAGTAATTTATTAAGTATAAAAATTATCGGGGAACAGTTTTATATTTGATAATGAAGAAAAATTTTGAGGAATTTTGAGAGGAAGGTTATGTACAATACAAATAAAAAACATGGAACACTATCAAGTATCAGGTTCATTATATCAACTAACGTACTCATTATCAAATATCCACATGATATTACAATAATATCAAGCAGTCAGGCCGATGTCTCATAGAGCGGAAATTGGCAACGAAACTTGTGGATCAATAGGACGAATCGCAATCATTCCGCTATTTTCACTATAATTTCACTGTTACAATTTGCGGAATAAACAAAAGTTGCTAATAACCTTAATTTATACTGTCGATGTATATTACAGCCATTGTCCATATAATGAGATTGGTTATTATTTTTTATCTTTTTCATTAATATGGACACAGAATTGATAAATAGCAAAATATTAATGATTCGATGACTACATATGAATGTAGATGTTAATCAACAGCCTACGATTCTGTTTATTTTTTTTCTCTTATGTCCTATTGAGCGGTAAACGCGACAGCGGAATCAAGTTTTAGCCAATCATGAGATAGTTTTACAATTATGTTAAAAATATTTTACTGTTAGAGAAGTCCTAATATTTACCGATTTGTTATATACATTATTATATTTACATTAAAATATTATTTTTATTATTACAAGTAAATAACATAAAAAGTATGATTTTATATTATTCCGCGTGTTTCGCTTCTGCTTATTTCGCTCTATGGAACATAAAGGATTTAAGGAAAGCGTAAGAAAGAAAACGGAATGACTGTGATTTCTCATGTCGATTTTACAATATAAGTAATACATATTATATTATTAGAGTTAAGTAAAAAAGTTAAAAAGTATCACATGAGTTTTATTTTTTAGAATTTAACTTAATGCCAATAATTGATATCAAATCTTTTATAGGAATGCTGCATAAAATTTTGTAGAATTTAATTTAGCGCCAATTGTTGATATCAAATCTTTTATACAAATGATACATATCATTGGAATTAAGTAAATGAAGAAGACAGTATCACTTGAGTTTTACTTTTTAATTTGATAAAACTTCATTTGGTTGATAAAGACAGTAGCACACACATTTGAATTTTAATTTTTTAATTTTAATCTGGTACAATATAATAGTTTTATCAAGAGATAATAATTTTTGACAGAGAATTGAAGCTGCCATTATTAAGTTAAAATAGAAAGACATTCAATGAGAATATTTTTGTAAAAGAATTTTAAAGCAATAATACTACTTGAGTTGGAATAGTAAAAAGATATATAACGTATTATTTAAGTTCTATTAGCGAAGCATGTATTAATTTGCGCACTAATTACCGTAGTAGTTTTATAAGATATTTTACTTTTTGTTTGATTTATCTCGAAATCTAATTCTTATTTTATATCTTTGTTATATATTTGTTTATTGAGCTAATATATAATATAACATTTGTTGTGCAGGAACTTTTACTACTACATCAACTACTACAACGAAGTTACATCGTAAAATGGAAATCCAGACCTTAGACAAATCGAAATCTTATGGTGATGGTAAGATTCAGTTTATTCTTAGATGATCAATTTATCACTACACAATAAAAAATTTGGTATTATTTTAACACAATTTACGTGTCCCAAACGATCCACCCAAATCTTTATATTAATTTAACGTAAGATAAAAGTAAAGATAGGCCGATTCTAACTCATTAGTGCGTATACGTATATGCGATGTGTGTGTGTGTGTGTGTGTGTGTGTGTGTGTGTGTGTGTGTGTGTGTGTGTCGAGTTAGGGAGGGAGAAGTGTATATAGACGTTGAGGAGAGGAAACGTGTCACAGGGATTCGTATTAGAAAGGGAAGGAGATTCGTTCTTTCTTTCTCTCACCCAGTGCGTTCTCTCTTTAACCTGTTATCCTTTCTCTTTCATCTATTGCAGGATTTTTAACATGTCTTTTAATAATACAATATAATGTTACATCCATAGTCTTTTTTTCCATGTTAGCATTTTCTTCCATGTTAGAATTTTCGTCATCACTATAAAAGTTATTAAATATCGGTAGATCATCTATTTCTAACATAGGAGGTTACAATAGCGACGAGCCGAATAATATTCGTTTTTGAGACTAATAATCCACTCGGGACAAAGTTGTTGGATTTAATATTTGAATCAAGTCGAATTGAAGAACTTTATCCCGAAGAACAGGAGAAGTTAATAGATTAACAATTACAAACTGGAACAGTTGTCTGTAATAAATGACACATGTGGCTCTAAGTTGAATTCGGCAGTCGATGACAAAAGTTGTTTTAGACACATTCCCATTTCACAACCGACACTTTCAATCCTAATCCTAGATTACACCAGTAATATACGTGAGACCTGCACGCAGCACTACTAACTCGCGAATATAAAGAAAGCCCTTTGCGAACAGACTGGCAGTCAAACTCTATTTCCGACACGAAACTCTGCCTATTCGCGACTATACAGTAAAAGTTATCTAATCAACCGATCACACTCTGCCGGTCCGCAACCAGATCATTTAACTGATTCTAGTGATGAGTCGCGATCAGTTAACTCAAGCGATCTTATTCGCGATCCTATTACTGTCAAGTAACTCTACTGAAGTCTCCAAATCGCTAGGTCCCCTTGGAGTTTTATAGTCACAGAGATCAGATCTCCGACAATCATCTTCTAAAGCCAAAACCTGCTGAGTAGTAGTAAGTCCCCCCTTAATTTATATATCTATATATTCATCGCGAAACGAATTCCTCATTCATCCCGATGATTCATTTGAATCTTTAAATAACCGATTTCCACATGCAACACAACCTCTCCCATCAGATGTTTACATAGTCCGATTATTTTGACCCACAAGAAATTCGAAATGCCATAACTGGCCAGCCACCTCTTGTTCACATTCTAGTACTCCTTCCGCGTACTCCTTCACCAGTTCCATATTTCGTTCCCGTAAATTTCTTTCATAATTTCTTCCTCCCTTCCTCCGTTGTAATTCATAAAATTAATTGATCCTGTATTGCCTCTCCCTTCACACACATACACATATACGCAGACTCACGCTCGCCCATGATTTAACTTGCAAAAATATGTATACTAGTCTTTTATGTAATTAATTAGTAATTCTGCGATTAATGATCTAAGTTATCGCGTTTCGCAATGTACAACACCTCATAGCAATTAGTTATAAAAATAAATACTATAATAAAATGAATTAAAAATAAAAATTATTCAAGAATATTAGCTTACTCTTACAACATGTTAAAATAACAGTTACCAATGCAGATGTAATCGATAACATAAAATTCTTGTTAAAAGACTAGCTTTCTCTTATATCTTAGTCGCAAACATAGATACATTTACTTTTAAAATATTGTATATAATACTAAGAAATTTTTGAGTTAATGATAAACTAGAATATTTTTGATATGACGTATCTCAATTTCCATTTATTCTAGAATCGTAAAACCTCGTATCGACTCCCAACCCTCGTTAGAGATCGCATATGGTTCCGAGTTATAAGGATTAAGTTCCTTGACTCGAATCGACGTTCGCATTGCTCATTAGAAACAGGTATTATAGTTTAGGACATTCCAGAGCTATAAAACAGTGCTCACAAAGATTTGTACATTTCGGGCCGATTTCGGCGCACTATCCCCATTATCGCTTGAGGCTCGGCAGCCGTCGGATGCTCACGTGATGCTCTGATTCAGGAGCATCTCTGTAGTTTAAACGTGCGGAGATTGTACCTTACTTTATTAAAGAATATTTTTCTTGCAAAATAATTTTTGCTTTCTTAAAATCAAATACTAAATTTTCCAAAACATTTTGTCTTGCCTATTAGAAACTATTCAATAATTGTTATAAATTTACATTGAAAAGTTTCTAGAATAACTAGCATATTTTGTCATAATAATTCTTGCTTATCAGAAATCATTCAATAATTGTTATTTATACCGAGAAGTTTCTATAATACATTGAGAAGTTTCTATATTTACACCAAGAAGTTTCTATATCGTCTTTATGTAATTGTTTAACCTTCCTTTTTAAACAATTGTACGTTAACCCTTTACAACACAGATCACACATATGTGATACCTTTTTAACCTCAGTTTTTATATTTTTATTTTATCATGTTTTTTATACAGTTTCTAACATATTACTAAAATAAAAATAACATTATCAGTGTTTAGAACATCAATTGTTATAAAAAACCCATGAAAACATTCCTATTGTTAACGAAATGTATTTTATAAATAAACAAACTGGAAAAATTCATATTTTTTTAACAATAAATTTAATTGTGACTAATCAACAATAGTTATAATTAGCCGAAAATGAAGTGAGAGGTTTTTTTGGGTCGCTGATTATAAATCTGAAGTTAAAATTAAAAAATTCAAAATGGCAGACAAAAAAACGAAAAATTGCTTGATTCTAATGAAACTTGTTATTTGGAGGTTTTCGCGATCCCTGATTGCGAATCTGGTCTCAGATTTTCAAAATTCAAAATGGCTAATCCAAGATGACGGACAAAAAGTTAAAAAATTAGTTTTGAGGTCAAGTAGGTTTTTTTGGATCTCTTATTACAAATTTGAAATCAAAATTAAAAAATTAAAATTAAAATTAAAATTAAAATTACTTAACTCCATTTTACAGTTCAAAACTAATTTTTAATTTTCTGTCCGCCATATTGGGTTTGCCATTTTAAATTTTGTAAATCTGAGGTCAAATTCGTAATCAGTTACCACGAAAAACTCCTGAATAACAAATTTCAACTGAATTCTATGTAAAGAAAAATGTGTGTTTTAAAAAGTTAAATAGAAAGTTAACAATTAAAGTTAGTAAAAAATTTAAAATGATAAAATTATATTCGCTTATAGAAGAAAATAGTTTTGCGATATAGAATCCTTGTTACTTGAGACTTTGTAAGACTTCATATGGAAAACACGGAATTTCCAGATTCACGTATTTCCTGACTTCAATCTTTGCAAGTCTGTTACAGAAACTTCTCGATGTAAATTTATAACAATTATTGAATACTTTCTGGTAGGCAAGAATTATTATGACAAAATATTTCAGAAAATTTAATATTTGATTTTTTTAAGAAAATAAAAATTATTTTGCAAGAAAAATATTTTTTAATAACGTAAGAATCTCCGCACGTTAAGCTATAGAGACGCTTCAGAGCGTCACGTGAACGCCCGGCGGCTCGGCCATCGAGCTTCGAACGGCAATGGGGGAAGTAGCGCGTGTGCAAATCTTTGCGAGCACTGCTATAAAAGGTACGTTCGACTTGCTCCCTTTCCCGCAGATGCATATGAGACAAAGGGTCTACTCTAACATCCTTCTATGCTCTATCCTTCTTATTCTTTCTTTTTCTAAACTCTATATAATTGGAGCTTGATAATAATAATATTTTCCCATATTAAGCTTATAAAAATAAGAAACTATTTTTTGGAAAGACTAAAATCTTCGATTTTATCATAGTGTAAAGTCACACTTAATAGAACTTTCTATCATTTATGTTAACTCCGAAGAGCTAAGATTTGACGAATTAGAATGTACTTTCAAACTGCTAAAATCTTCGTCATCGATTTTTAATTAAGTGGGTTAGACAACATTTCCTGCCGGCATATAAAGTCTCATCTTAATGAAGGACTGCATACACACTTTTTCTGGAATGACAGTGATATTTTTTATAGTAAACAAATACAGCAATACTTGTGAGTCGAAAAGTGAACGATTCGCTGGATTTGAATTTCAATTCGTTCATCATTCGATTCGTTTACTTTAAGTTATATATACTGACTGTCGCATCACTAGAAGTTGATTGTTTATCGATTTTGTTTTCAGTATCGACCATTGTTTATACTGAAAGACTCGACATTTTCCACATAAAATGTCATAAACAACAATTAGTCGTTGAATTTATTACCAAAATAAATTGTTTCTTTAGTTATAATTATCTTTTGACCAGGTACTTCATACGGTAAAAATTTATTATCCCCAGTGCATTTACGATTTATATCAGATACAGATTTTTTTCTACTGCATCAGTCAAATGCAAAAAAAAACAGAACAGCAAAAAAAATCAATATGGTAAGTATTTTTAGATAAGTGTTATGTATATAAAGAGGCGTTGTGATTGGGCCTACTAAAATAGTTCACCAAGCTTAAAACAATAATAATAAAATAATAATAATAGTTAATATTAATAATCAAAGTTGATAGCGTTCCACGGCGATTTACGCGACACAGAGTGCGAAAGACTAAAATACGTCTATTATGAACATGGAAATATCTCAATACGTACAAATGTAGTACCAGAATGGGTTCTGACGAGTAATGCCATTTTGATATTGAGGCTCAAAATTTTTTAAATGATCCTCGTATATACAGGGTGTCAAAATCCGGACAAATTTAAATTTAAATTTTCCGCTATATTGTGCCTTCGCTAGAGGTTGGCATTTAAGAAAGCCTGATGCTTCTAATAAACAGTCATATTCTCAAAATGGCCGCGATGTTGAAACTAAGTGCGAAGTATAATCGAAGAGTCGCGATCATCGAAGGCTTTCGCGCTGAATACTCAATAACGGAAATAATTTGGTTCTTTGAATATCCTCGATCAACCATTTAAGACGTTATGGCAAAATATATAGTTTTAGAATAGTCTACGAAGGATCCAGTATGCCAGCGAGAAAGAGTCACTCGAAAGAATGCTCCGCAGGAGGAACCCTGCAGATGAAAGAGCTCAAGCACTGATTTCGGATGATCCAGCAATCGTTGCGCGTTCTGATGGATGTAGTGAAGCCGTGGATGGAAACTGTGACGTCCGGAAGGCCATGTTTTTCAGCAGGACAATGTACTGGCTCATACGAGTTATTTGATTCAAAATTTGGCTCTCAGACAACATCGATGTTTTAGTCCAAGGAATTCTGGCCTCCCAACAGCCCAGTTTAAATCCTTTGGACTACGTATGGAGCGTAGTTGAAAGAGTCACAAATAAGTCTCAGCATCCCAATGTGACGTCATTAAGGACCGCTATTAGGGCAACATTCGTTAGCCATGGACAGCGCTACATTACAGCATGCGTACAAACGCTTCAGATTGGGAATAGAGATCGTCATTCAATCTAATGGAGAATATATCAAATAATTGTGCTCTACAAGGAGCCCAAATGCTATGTGAAAGAATTTTTTAATTTTAATAATATTAAGTGTACAACTTTGTTTCCGCCGTTTTCTTATAGATGGCTTTAGCGGTAAGTGGTGATCGAAATAAATAGATCATAGATATCATACAATAAACTTGGGCATCTGTCAACATAATCCCATAGAAACATTAGTCGATTTCTGTCTGCATCATAAAGTTATTCTCAATTGAAAATGTCAGTTTACGAGCCAAATTCTCATTTGCGGGAGGTTTTAATTTTTTGCTTCAATATGAAGAAATCTGCGGCTGAGGCTCATCCAATGCTCTCAAATACTTATGGTGAGGCCGCTATTAGTGAAAGAACGTGTCGTGAGTGATTTCAACGCTTCAAGAACGGTGATTTTGACCGGCATAGCGGTGGAAGAGAGAAGGTTTTCGAAGAATTGGAGGCATTACTTGAGCAAGACTCGTGTCAAAATCAAAAAGAATTGGCACGATCATTGGAAGTGACTCAACAAGCCATTTCAAAACGTCTCAAAGCCATGGAAATGATTCAGAAGCAAGGAAATTGGGTGCCGTACGAATTGAAGCCGAGAGATATTGAACGGCGTTTGTTTGCTTGTGAACAGCTGCTTGAAAGGCAAAGACAGAAGGGATTTCTGCATTGCATTGTGACTGGGGACGAAAAATGGGTTCATTACGATAATCCAAGCGCAGAAAATCATGGGGAGTTCCCAGCCATGCTTCCACATCGACGATCAAACCGAATATTCACGGCTCCAAAGTGATGCTCTGTATTTGGTGGGACCAGTTCGGCGTAGTGTATTATGAACTGTTAAAACCGACTGAAACAATCACAGGCGATCGGTATCGAACGCAATTGATGCGTTTGAGCCGAGCATTGAAAGACAAACGGCCGCAATACAACGAGAGAAACGATAAAGTGATTTTGCAGCATGACAATGCTCGACCCTATGTTGCGAAAGTGGTCAAGACATACTTGGATACGTTGAAATGGGAAGTCCTACCCCACCCGCCGTTTCTCCCTCTGACTATCACTTGTTTCGATCAATGGCACACGGCCTGACTGACCAGCACTTCTGGTCTTATGAAGAAGTAAAAAATTGGATAGATTCGTGGATAGCCTCGAAAGATGACCAGTTTTTTCGACGCGGAATTCATACGCTACCCGAAAGATGGGAGAAAGTAGTGGTCAGCGACAATACTTTGAATCATAAATGTATAACCAGTTTTTTACAATAAAATCTCGAATTTCGGAAAAAAACGGCGGAAGCAAAGTTGTACACCTAATATTTAATTTTTCATTTAAAATATTTTGTTTAAAGAATTTGTTCGATTTATCTGGATTTTGGTGACACATTCTGCACATATATTGGCGTTGATACTTCGAGAGAAGGAAAAGAATATTGAATAAACTCACTTGAATAATTAATCTTTACACACAGTTTAATATAATACGAAAGACTTTCTTTGCAATCGAAAAGGTAGACTCTTTCTTACAGAATTTAAGATGGCGGAAGCTCAAGAATCGAAGAGAAACTAGGAATCGAATAAATAGCGCGATAGTGAAACACAGAGTGACGCGTTCGCGGATGCCGCCATATACAAAAATGAGGGAACAAAAAATAGATACATATATATGATTCTAGTAAAATCATGCACAGAAAATTAAATGCGAATAGAGAGAGAATTTGCGAATTTTCGAACTTCCCTTCAATTTGAATTAACATATTTTGTGTTAGGCTCTATGGGAGTGTTTCGTGATCTCGTTATTTTCAATCCGCTAAACTTCAAGAGTTTCTTTATGTGACTCTTTTGACAATAGTCCTGCATTCAATTAATTTCCATTCCGATAAATCGCTTGATTTTGGTTATCTCTTTTGTTTTATAGCGCTATTTGATTTTTCATTTAAAACAAAAAATCTTCGATGTTTGCATTTGATGTAATTCAGTACACATATGATCACGTAGTTCAGTACATATATGATTCCATTACTGTCTGGATCACTATTTCGGTACAAACATATCTACCTCTGAGTTCATGAATTTCTTCATAAACGATTCAAATTCTGTAATTCATGCCTGTCATACTTGTTTAAAACCATAAATTGCCTTATGTAATTTGCCTTCCCTCCTCCGGAAAGCTTTTCGATATTGTCATGTATCTTTTCGTTTAGGTGGCTATTCAAATATGTTGCTTTGATATCGAGCTATTCCAGTTTCAGCTATTTGTTGGCAACAATTACTAGAAAGACTTTCACTGCTGTTGAGCTTAATAGCATGCACATAAGTATTCTCATTTTGCTCTGCTTGCATCTTCTTGCGACCAGTTTTGTTTTCTTGATTATTTCTTCCTCCTGGATCTAATTTTGTTCTGAATTTCCGTACAAATCAATACGTAATTGACCATTGCCTTTTACCACTTCTCATGTTTGATTTTCAAGTATGTTGTCCACTTCATTGTTGATCACATTTTTCAGCTTCATTATATATTATCTCTTCCTCGTTTAATTCTTCGATTTCTATCAAGTATCCGCGATAGTCTCCGTATCTTTTTGGTGGCGTCCTGTTACGTTGCAATAGTATTCTTCTTTTGATCTGTTTTGTTTCATCTGACTCATTTTTCTTCTTGCTGCTTTCATCTTTGTTATTATTTTCTCTCTTTCCGTATCCGTCCCTGATTGTGATTGTCATCTTTCGCATGTCTCTCATTTTCTTCGTTAGGTTCAATTTCTATCGCTGTCTTACGTGCTCTCCTTTTCGTCAGACTCTATAAACTTAACATCTGATCGCGTACTCTTTCACTTAGAAGATCGAATAATTTATATCCGATGTTTGTTATTTCGACGAATTTCATCTTCTTAATCTTGTTATCGAATCGATTTCTGAACTGTTTCTCAACATAATTATATGCCTCACATCTGAAGATTTTTATTCTTGCGTAGTTCACTCCAAGTTCGACTTTGGCCGCTGAAACTTCATTATTATTTATTGCCTTGCTCGGTATATGATTTAGGATGTAAGCAGTGTACATGACCATATTACTTTTCCATACTTTTAACAAGGATCATTATCCTTTCAGTTTTTGTTCTATTCGCGCGTTCAGCTATTCAACGCATGCGGATGTTATCTCGAATTGCACTTCCTTAACTATCTTTTTCAACATGTTATTTACGAACTCAGTACCTGCGTCGCACTGTATGGCTCTGGTATGTCTTCCGAACTTATTCTCATATCTGTGTTTGAACTCTTCTTATCGGCCTGTCTCACTCTTATGCTAGAGCACACGGTGGTGTGAGTAGTCATCCACAATCGAAAGTACTTTTCTCCGTCTATACTTATTGGGCTTATGGGTCCGCAGAAATCGGCATAAATTTTACCGAGTACCTGTTTTGCTCTCGGTCTCGTTCCTGTGTAGTTGTTTGCTCATTTTTGCTTGATGGATATTTCATCTGATTTTATTGCACAGGAGTAGCTTAAACATCGGTGCCAAATTGCTGAATCGTCGGTTAGTGCTAGACTTGCATAGTTGTCCATCCCTTTTGATGACTTTTCGATGATATTATATAGACTGCTTCCAAGTTGCGTCTGCACGATCAGTTTGTCTTCTTTATATATATTCATTTCTAAATTCCATTCGGAATCTCTTGACTTCTAATCGCTTGATAGAAAAAAATTTTGATAAAAAAAAAATGCAAAAAAATTTTTTAAATTGTCGCAAGTCAATAAGATAGTAACAAATTCTTATTCTTTCCAATCGCTTGTAGTACGCGTTAATTGAGTAAGATAAAGTCTAAAGAATGAAATTTACCAACAAAAATATATATTAAAAAAGGAAAAAACATTTTTTTTTATATAATAACGTCTGGCGACTATGTTTCTTTTTTATGGAAGCAAAAAATGACCCACAGGTCATCATATACGTAAATGACACATCTGCATGGAAAATTTTTTCTCGCCGGAGCGTATATTCTTCCACCACTTTTCGAGATTTTTCTTCTCAGACATGTTATGATTATTGTATAATGCGTAAAATATCACAAAGTTCTTAAAACGTTGTTCATTGGCATTTTGATGTCAACTAAAATGATTGTATATCTCAATTTATAAAGCCAGCTTCACGAAGCTCCTCGACAATAGACAATATTTCGTTCGCATCGTGGGCATTGTGACCTGCTTGACGCGAGGCCTCAAGCAATCGGGGACGATCCACTAACTCAGCTTAGGATCGTCCCAATGAACATAATCGATTTTATTGTCGTTTAGAGACATAGTATTACACCTTTTCCGACTCTTTAACCTATTTTGTTTACCTAATTTGTTGTTTAGTTTCCTGACATGTTGTCCGTTCCAACTTATATTTCATAAACCAAGAGTACTATTATATTCTTATATTTGTTTTTACCCTTTGCTGCCTACTATTGGATTATCCGCTTTATGACTGCGCCTGTGAATATTGCCAGTATTTTTATATTGTTTATCATTTTTTGTGTAAATTGCATCGTCGGGAATTCTTTTGAAAATTAATTCACAAACCAGATATACCTTTGTACTTTATTCCATGTACGATCACAAAGTCGTTAGTGTCTACATCGAAATATTTGTCACCGAGCTTCGTGTCGTTTTCGCGATATGCCGATAAACGTGATCGATCGCCTTTTCTCTGTCACTATCGAGGAGCTTATGTTTACATATTTTTGTTCAAGTGCCTCCAATTAATTACTCCTCACGAACTTGCCGCATTTGTAATGATTGTTTAACTAACGTTCAAGCGATTCATTGGGCGCTTCATAAACATCTTCGACTGAGAAAACATGTGAACGTTTGTACGATAATTCGTGTTTCGGTTCAGGCAATGCATAATTGGAATTCGACGTAATGTTCGATTCTTTTGTACATTGCTTTTTAGATGATGATGTTAATTAAAGCCATGAATTATTCATCCAGAGGTCATCACCATCATTATCATCTTCATCATCTTCAGATTTTTTCTTTTAATATTTTTATTCTTTACAACGTTGACTTCTTTCTTAATTGGTTGAAATTCATCATTAATGATATTCTCGATAATCTGTTTTAGAATTTCGATAGGCTTAAAGTGTTTCAATGTTATATCTTTCTTTTTTTGCCGGTTTTTAAAATGCAGTATTTTTTACGAATCAATTCATTCGTTTTCGCAATTTGTTTCGCTATCCTCTCGCTATCTTTGAGCTCTTTGTTATTATCATGTTGTACTTGAAAGGAAATGTTGTGTAGTAGACATTGACAACGACTAACCTTAACACGTTAAGGTATCGCATACTCATTAAATCCTTTTCAGTCCTTTCGTAAGCTGTCATTATCTATGACTACGAATCCATACTTTTGCCAACAGCAATGACAGTTCACAGAAATTCTTATAAGACGTGTCAGTGTTTACATGATCATTGTACATATGTTTCAGATTGTACCGTCCTATTTGAACAGGATCAACATTTGCATTATCGCGTGTAAGATTCTAGCTTCGATGCCTTTTTACGAATGTCTAACACAGATAAAAGCAATCGACATCCGCGTGTCGAACGCAAAATATTCTCTGATCGTGTCTTGTTTGTCGCATCCATGTCATCGAAGACAAAAATGGAATTTGGAAACATCTCGTTCGGTGGAATATATCATCTTATTATTGGAGAATATAAAATAATCAATTTCTTCAATCGGTGCTAATAAATTCTCCAAATATCGGTATTTTGGCTATTGCAACGACTTCAAGTACACGTACATGTTTTCGAAACGTATATTGGACTTTCCAGCAAACTTATCAACACATTTGTTTTGCCGCAATTCGATGGACCGCAGATTCTGCGTATAGAAATCGGCATGTTTCCATGCTTGAGTATTTCTTTTTCAGTCTGTACTTTATTGTCGACATTAGTCACTTTGATCGTCTGTGATTATTGAATGAATCTTCTCCTTTCATTATTGATAATATTGAAAAAAAACGATATCGAGAGCGGATGTATTTATAGTAGCGCGCTAAGCAAAACCGCTCAGTATTCAAAATGCTTTTTATGTGTCAGACAACTGTGATGTACATTTAACCGCTAAAGAATTGGAATATATACCAAAAATTATTTTGCTATGAGAATTTAAGAATTACATAGATCAATTGTGGGATCGATTACCCGAGTATATAAAGGCTGATTCAGAGG